CAACAAATACTTAACTAACTTATTCCATGCAACTTATACTTACAGAGTCTTGCTACAGGCAAGACATTTTTAATATTTAAAATTCTCTTAAGGATGACAAAGTACAACCTTAGTTAAGAATTTGAATAAGGTATTGGAACTACCTTCCCAACATGAGTACAGATGGTCCCTGACTTACAATGGTTCGCCTTGCAAGTTTTCAAGTTTACAATGGTGTGAAAGCAATACGCATTGAGTAGAAACCTTCTTTCAGATTTTGATCTTTTCTCAGGCTAACAATAGGCGGTATGATATTCTCTTGTGATGCTGGCCAGCGGCAGCAAGCCACAGCTTCCAGTCAGCCAGCCACGCCATCACAATTGATATACTTACAACCATTCTGTACCCATACAGCCATTCTGTTTTTCATTTTCAGTACACTACTCAATAAATTACATGAGATATTCAACACTACTATAAAACAGTCTTTATGTTAGATGATTTTGCCCAACTGTAGGCTAATGTAAGTGTTCTGAGTACATTTAAGGTAGGCTGAGCTATGATGTTCGGTAGGGTAGGTGTATTAAATGCATTTTTGACTTACAGTATTTTCATCTTACCATGGGTTTATTGTGACGAAACCCCAACATATGTTGAGGAAGATCTCTATTCATTTTTAGGCTACAGACAAGTTGATAGTAATCTATTTCCCAAGACTGAACATTTAATTACCCCAAATTGCATATTTCTAAGCTACGACATCATTTAAAAGTTTAAAATATGATTAATATGGATGTGTTAACATTCCTAGAATTTTTAACTCTTCAAAAATAAGCCATCAGGGCTTCCCTGGTGGCGCAGTGGTTAAGAATCCACCTGCCAATGCAGGAGACACGGGTTCGAGCCCTGGTCCGGGAAGATTCCACATGCCACGGAGCAACTAAGCCTGTGCGCCACAACTACTGAGCCTGCGCTCTAGAGCCTGCGCATCACAACTACTGAGCCCGCACGCCTAGGGCCCATGCTCCACAACAAGAGAAGCCACCACGATGAGAAGCCCGCGCACCGCAATGGAGAGTAGCCCCCACTCGCCGCAACTAGAGAAAGCCCGCGCACAGCAACGAAGACCCAACACAGCCAAAAATAAAAATAAAATAAATTTATAAAACAAAAAAAAGCCATCAGCTCAACTCCTCAAAAACCATGGTGTTACGGGGAGGAATAAGAGTCAGGGATTGACAGTATTATCTCTACGAGCACTTATTCAAGGTGGGTATTTGTATCCATCCCTTAAAATTTCCAATTTATTTTGTGATCCTAAGATCATAAATCCTTTGCTATTAAAAACAGAAACAATCAATGGAGAGCTCCACTGTGAGTGCTGTGCTGGATTCTTCCCTAACTTACCAGTTAAATGGACCAAAAAACTCCATTTCCTCTGCTACTTACCTTGCCCAGGAATTTATTGATTAGTTTCGAACACTAGCCAGCATTCCTGAAAACCAGCCTAGCTTCCTTCCTATAGTCCTTCCCCAGTCTCATTTGCCCTCAACACCACAACCCACCAGAGTAAGTTTCTAGAACCTCCGGGTCATTAAGATACAAACTTACACAACAGGTCTCTTGCCTTCCAAGATGGCCCACACTCTGTCTATGGAGTGTGTATCTCCCTGAATAAATCTTTCACTTTACTATGTCTTGCTCTTGAATTCTTGCCTGCACAAAGTCAAGAACACACACTTGGCGGCCATCCCAGGGACTCAGACATGACTTGGGATGTGACCATCCTCTCGCATCCCACTCTCTTTCCTGCAGCATCTTTTCTGGCACCCAATGCGGGGCCTCAAAGGCCATAATCTCGATCCACCTACTGGGCTATGGCTCCCCTCTGAAGGGTGGCTGGGCCTTCTCCTGAGCCATGGAGATTCGAGTAGCCCGTTAAGTGGCAGCTGACGTTGCCTGCAGGGTCTGGCAGAGAGCAGCTCTCTGGCCGTGAAGAAGCGCACTGAAGCCAAGGCTTTTCCCCCTCAGTCTTTCTCATTCTCCTATTGCTCTATCTCTTTGGACTTGAAAAGATCCACCCAGACGACCACCAAACATCCAAATTAAGACTGTGCGGCAAGTAACTGACAACTCGGTTGGGTCTAAAGAACTCCTGCCAGGGGGCTCATCTGGTGGCGCAGTGGTTGAGAGTCTGCCTGCCAATGCAGGGGACATGGGTTCCAGCCCTGGTCTGGGAGGATCCCACATGCCACAGAGCAACTAGGCCCGTGAGCCACAACTACTGAGCCTGAGCATCTGGAGCCTGTGCTCCACAACAGGAGAGGCCGCAATAGTGAGGCCGCGCACTGTGATGTAAGAGTGGCCCCCGCTTGCCGCAACTAGAGAAAGCCCTCGCACAGAAACGAAGACCCAGCAGCACAGCCAAAAAAAAAAAAGAACAAACTTACACATCACCCATTGCCTGTTAGTATCTATAAAATAAAATTCAAATGCTGGCATTCCAAAGTCCTCAAAAATCTGACCCCCTGTAGGGTAATCACATAGGGCCTTTCAGCTTTTAATACTCTTCTAATAATCTCTCAATTTTTCTTTTACAAGTGCTTCTTTCTGATTACAGAATAAATGGTTTTAAAGTCCTAAATTCTAAAACATAAATGAGAATTAACGTAATTTTCATTCATTACCTGCAAATCCTCTTTTTTAATGCCTCCCTCCCAAACACTTGGTCAAGTTTTGCTATTAATCTTTGTCATCCAGAAAACAAACAAGGTACCCTTACACATAAATCCTTACTAAACTTGAACTGTTCAGAGGCCAGGTCTCTGTATGGATTCTTTTGGGCCATTTTCCTACTCAGTAACTAGCACCTCCACCAGAGGGCGGAAGAGGGGAGAATCTGAAACAGACATTTTTTTGCTATCAACTATTAACTTAATAACTTAATAGGTATTAAGATTAACTGGCAAAAAGGGGTGGAGGTGAAAGCGCGACACCTGTGATAAGCGTAAAATTGTAACACCTAACTCATATCCACAACTGAAGAGACAACTGGCATACTGAAACAACCTAAATTAATGTAACTGCTTCTTGTTCCACCATATTTATCCCATCAATGACTAACCAGAGGGCGGGTATCTTTGTTTCACTCACTCATGTACCTCAAATCCACCCCCCCCCCCGCCCCCCCAATGGCTAATGGTCCGGCTGTTGCAGAATCAGAGATCTGGGGCACGATGTATTTGAGAAAATACTACAAAATGCTAGAATACAGTTTGGCCATTTTGTTGCTGGAGACCTTGGGCAAATTATTTAATTTTTGTGCCTCAGTTTCTTCATTTGTAGAACAGGGAGGTGTTGTGAAATTTAAATGGGATACACAAAAAGCTTAGTTTAGAACAGTGCCTGGAACAGAGGAAGGACTCAATAAATATTATTAATGGAACAAGTTTTGTTAGAAGCAAGGGCTACAAAATACTACTTCTCCTCCCTAACTTAAAAGTTGTAGTGTGGAAAAAGAATTAACCTGAATTATGAGTCTGGCTTTAAAAAATACGTTACCAAATCCATATTTTATTTCAAAGCATGATATTTCAGACAATAATCTTCTTTTTATGCCAGAATAGAAAAAGGAAAAAAATCCCTGTGAAGTACTTAACACAAAGTCTGGCAGCTAGAGTCTTATGTGCTATACGAAGAACTTAAAAAACATGTGGGCTTGTGGTTTAAAAGGCACCAAATTATGAAATGATTACTAGGTATGAAGCATACCTTGTGACAGCAAACTGAAACTTTTGGTAATTGGAGAAAACTATTTGTGCCCGACATAGTGAGGTATGCGATCTCTACCACCTGGTGCTGCCCCACCCTTGGGGTTTAACTTCAGTCCACATCAGTTTTAAGATGGAAACAGATTTGAACATACTCGACGGTGTGATGCCCGGAGGAAAAAGGGAACATGGGGCCGGACCCCGGAGGCTGAAACGCTAAGGAAAAACGAAATCTCTAACACTGCTTCTTTTTTTTTTTTTTGCGGTACGCGGGCCCCTCACTGTTGTGGCCTCTCCCGTTGCGGAGCACAGGCTCCGGACGCGCAG